GTGGTGGTGGTGGTGGTGGCGACGGCAACACAATGGTGGTGGTGGTGATGGTGGCGACAGCAACACAATGGTGGTGGTGGTGGTGGCGGCAACACAATGGTAGTGGAGGTGGTGGCAGTGGTGGGGAGATGACGCAATAATAATGATGATGGAGGTAGTGACGACAATGGTGGTGGTGGCAATGACACAATGATAGTGATGGTGACATCAGTGATGGTGGTGGCGGTGGCACAATGGTAGTAGTGGTGGTGGTGATAATGTTGATGGTGGTGGCGGCGATAACACAATGGTGGTGAAGGTATATTTGTGCATTATGAAAAATTGATAAAATTCATATTGATTAATATTTTATGAATTAAGTGATAAGTAGGCGACTTGCTACTTAAAATTTTAGTCTATTTTTAAGAAATGCTTAAAATATTTAGTATGAGTTTTAGGTTATCAAACGGGTTTAATTTATTAATTGTTTAAAGCATTCAGTTTTAAACTTTTAAGTGATGTTATCAAACAGCCCCTTAAACATGTGATAAGAATATAGAGATCAAGTTATATCTGAATATGTTTGGGTTACAGTATTTTATCCCTATAAATAGGATTGAGTATTATGTAATCAATTACCAGATGACTTGTTTTTCAGTGAATAATACATCGATATAAATTTTTGATTTGTGGATGTGGTACGGTATACCAAGGGATACATTGTATCAAACTATGTTATATCTTTGTATCATGTTTTTATTATTTTACTATCTTTGAATTCCTATTTTCCAAAATAGTATCGTAGTTATATTTCAACAAGTAGTATCAGAGTTAAATTGATGATTTTAGTGTATCAATCAAAACAAGTTATTGGCGATCCAACAATCAAGTTGGTATTTATATTGAAGAAGACTCTATTACCACGTGTGTACGGCGTGCAGTGAAGATTGATTTCGTTCTGCATATATTAAGGACGTAATCTTGAAAAATTAGTTAATTCATATTTTGTTTGAGGACAATAAAAATTTTAAAGTTGGTATAAAACTAAACGAAAGATTAAAAGTTGTTTGCATATTGTTTGGATTTCAAGAATTACCACATGTGTTGTGTTGAAGATTTGTTTAGAATTTTGGGCTCTTTGAGTTGAAGTCATGTTATTTCAATAGTAACGAGTTACTGGGGCATTGAAACCTACCAAGAATAGGTAAGAGGCAAGCAGAGATGCACAGTTGATACAAGGCAAAATGCAAGTTCTTGAAAGACAGAGAGACTTGTGGCGATTCAGAAGAGCAGGTTTGCACGTACGTAGTGCTTAAAAAAGTGGTGGATAATCAAGGGTGTTTAGCCTAATGTTGGCATGACCAAATTTGAAAAGTTTGGTTCAAGGGAGACTGTTAGAATTTGACTCAAACTCTCTAATTGTCACGAATAAGAGTTTATTGGGTAATCGATGTAAGTTATTAGTGACCTAATCAAATAGGAAATAAATTTAAAGAGTTTTAATATACTATGAATAAATATATTAGACATGTCATAGGAAATATAGAAATCAAGTTGTATTTGAAGAGGTTTGAGTTATAGTATTTTATCCATATAACTAAGGTTGAGTATTATGCAATCAATTTCCTGAGGATTAGTCTTTCAATGAATAATACATTGATGTAGGTTTTTGGTCTGTAGATGTAAGTACGGTATACCAAAGTGGATATGTTGTATCAAACCACGTTATAGCTCTGTGTTTTATTGTTTACTTATCTTTTAGTTTCTATCATCCAACAAATATTATTTGTATAAAACCAACGAGTGGTATCAAAATTATGTTCCAATAAATGGTTTTAGAGCTAGATTGATGATCCTGATAGAATAATAAGAGATAGATTGATGATCCTGCTGATACAATCAGAGTCAGGTTGATTATCCTCATGCAACAATCAAAACAAGTTATTAGCGATTCAATGATTAAGTTGATGTTCATGTTACAGAAGACTCATGCAATGTGTATACAACGTGGTGTGAAAGATTGATTTTGCCCTGTGTACATTAAGAACATAATCTTAAAAAATTAGTTGATTCATATTTTTGTTTACAATCACAAGAAAAAATTTAAAGTTGGTATGAAACCAAATAAGGGGACTAAGTTGCTTCCAACTTTAAATCTCAATCTTGTCCATTGATTTTATGGTGATTCATCTTAGTTAGGAAGATCACACTTTTCTTTTATTTCCAACAAAATTGATCGAAACTTGGTAAAACCCAACATAAATTAGTTATTGAAAACCAATATTCTCATATTTCATAATGTCCCAATCTATATCCTTTGCGATTTCTCTAATTCTAAAACTTGTCTTTTAACAATCTAAACAAAAATATTCCCCAAAATAGAATTTTGATCTTTCCAACTCACCACCATTAAACACCAACTTACTTGGTATAAGTATCTTCCTACCACTAATCTTGCATTAAAGCTTCAAATATTTTAATAGGCCCCGTTTGGTTAGCGAGAGAGTGGTGGAAAATGGGGAAAAGAGGAAAAAAAAATAGATTTTATTGCGTTGGTTTAGCACGAAACCTAATTTCTCGGGATTTTTTTTTCTCCATTGAACAGATTTTCCTGCAAAAGGAGAAATCCATTTTCCCACCAAATTTGCACAAAAATATTTTTTTTCTCGTGAAACTTGGGACCTCTTATCTTATGTACCGCTCTACCCCTATTTCAGCACACGATAACTCCTCCAAGTTTTCATCTTCATATATAACTCTGTGATATTAATCAATCTCAGCTTGACCTTATGTCTCTGCACATCTACTCAAACCGATCTACTGAGTTTATCTTCCATTTCTATTTTATTTTGTGTAATAGAATTGATACATATCCCAAGTATCAAAACTTTAACCATTCACAGGTTTTCCTTGTTTCTCTGCACATCTTCTTTGTTTATCTGCATATCTTTATCTTGTTTGCTGGGTATGAGTTTGTGATGTAGTAGATGAGTTAGAACATATGGGTAATAGGTGTTTGATAAAATGTCTAAACTAGAATAAACTTTTATTAAAACCCAATTACACCCACTAATTAACTTTTGACTTCCCTATTTTTCAGAAAAAAAAAATAATAATTTTTGACTTTCCTAAAGCATAGCTCACTGAATCTGTGGTCTAAGCATGCCAGTAGAACAAATTTCATGAATAATGGGACTGCCCTCATCAATTTATTACATCTACAACTTTTTTTTTGCCGTACTTCTACAACAACAATGAGTGAGAAAATGAAGAAAAACGGGGGAAAAGTGGAAAAAAAAAGCTTCATGACACAACGCGAATTTGTGAAATAGGGAAAAAAGAAAGTTTGATTGTGCTTTACATAAACTATTAGTTGGTAATTGGTATCTTATTTTTGTGTTTGTTTCATCTATATTTCCATATTTTTGTTTGTATTTTTAATGATGTATTCTTTTTTGTGATTTTTTTTAATATTCGATCTTTTAGATGGATATCGATGATGATAATGATGACAAGATTGTTCTTATTTATGCACAATTTATTGGTGTCATGGTTGTTATGTATGGTGCTCACTACTTGCAACAATAAGAAGGAAAGCCACAACATAATTATTATCAAACACAATGCGAATTTATGGGTGACGTGACAGAGAGTGAAGAACATTGTCATAATCTATTAAGGATGAATGTGGAGTCTTTTCAAAGCTTTGTATACATTTTTAAAGGAACTGGAAGGCTAAAGGATATTGTGCACTGTAGTGTTGAGGAACAATTAGCAATGTTTTTACATATAATATCACACAATCTCAAGAATCGTAATGCAAAATGCTATTTTAAGAGGTCTGGGAAAATCATATCCCGATATTTTCACATAGTCTTAAATGCTATACTAGGCATGGAAGATGACTTTTTAAAGCAACCTAATTCTGCAATGGAGACACCCACAGAAATACGCAAAAATCACAGGATGTAGCCATATTTTAAGATAGCATTTCATTATAGATAACATCTTTTGATATACGTTGGAGTTTTTTTTTCATGCATTTCTCATTTGTTATTGACGCAAGTAGGATTGTGTGGGAGCAATCGATGGTACACATCCTTCGGTGAAAGTTTCAGCTGAATATGTTGCCCGATTTCGTGGTAGAAAACAATGGCCTTCACAAAATGTACTAGGCGCTTGCATGCTAGATTTAAAATTTACCTATGTATTAGCTGCTTGAAAAAGATCAGCTGCTAATTCTAGAATCTTAAGTTATGCTATTACTCAGAAGCATGGAATTACATGTCTTCCAGGTAATTACGTAATTTAACAATACTGATAATTATTTTAAACATAAAATACCTCTACTAAATAACGTGTTATTGTTTGTGTAGGCAAATTCTGTTTTGTTGATGCAGGATTTCCATTGCTAAAGCATTATATTATCCCATTCGAAGTACTAGATATCACTTAGATGAAATAAGAAGTCGTGTACCAACTACACCTAAAAAGTTGTTTAACCATAGACATTCATCTTTACGGAAAACAATTGAGAGAGCCTTTGGGGTACTAAAAAAAGATTATGAATCTTAGTTGATGAGCCAATGTTTGGTTATACAACTCAGACGAAGATAGTAATTACTTGTTGTATTGTGCACAATCATGTTCGAGGAGTGATGCCAGATGATGCACTCTTAGTTGTTGTTGATCGAGAGATGCGACATCAACCCGCCACAACGCATGATGTTGTCAACACACAATTAACAAGGGCTCAAGATGCAAGGGAAGGAAAAAGAATTCAAACACAAATAATGAATGAAATTGTAATGGGCATCATTTGGATACTTGATGATATCGTATTTTGATACTTTTTGCTACATGTAAATGATTGTGTATGTCTCTTTCCTGGGGAATTGAAAATAACTACTACCTTGTTTTTGATATAGTTTGTCTTTCAATTGTGCATGTATGTTGTTTCAAATTTGATTATGTTTCTTTTGTTTATTGTTATTCAATATATATGAGCTGTTATTTTACGAATGGAGCAAGACGAGTCTCAAACCCTCCCAGGAGATTGGAAGAAGAAAGGAAAGAATGTAGTGTGGTCTAAGGAGATGGATCGATGTCTCATTCTGGAACTTGTACTTCAAGCTAATGAAGGTTATAAAGTGGACAAGGGTTTTAAAGATCACGCTTATACTGTAGCTTTATCAGCTATGAATCAAGTTTTAACATTTCTCTCAGTCGAGACCATTGTGTTAATCGGTTAAAAACCATCAAGAAAAAATTTAGAGTCATACAAGACATGTTGAGCAAAAGTGGATGTGTTTAGAATCCAATGTCAAAAATTGTGGAGTGTAGGGATCAAGTCTAGGCTACATATATTGTTGTAAGTATCATTTAAATAATAGCAACGTCTAAATGCTACTTTTTTTTTGCAATTAAAAAAAAAATGACAATTTGTCAACATATATGCTTGACTATAATGCTTGATATATTTTTATTGGCAAATCTAAATGCAAAAAGATTGTGCGGTAACATAATTGATATGATTGACGAATTAGATATTGTGTGTGGCAATGATCAAGCAACTGGAGAATGGGCATGTTCAGGTAAATATATAAATGCTAACTTGTCAAGACAAATGGATGTTAGTGTCGATGAGTACACGCCGGTCTTTTATCACAATGAGAAAATGGTAGTCGACAACTTGGGTGATATAGAAGGCAATGGATCTGGACATCAACAAGACAATGATAGTATTCAGATGCCAACATAAGGCAAACGCAACCATGGATCTTCAAAGCCTAGGAGACATCATTCAAAGAAGCCAAAAAATGCAGAGATTGTTGTTGAAACAATAAATGTAGTTGCTAATAACATGACAAGTATAGCTGATGCATACAAAAATAGTAAGTCTGGCGTAAATTATTTGGACATTTACAAAGCTGTAATGGATGTTGAAATGCTTGATATTGATAGTCGAATGACAGCTTTTGAGTACCTGAACCCAAATCCGGTCAAACGAGGAGATTTTTAATATATCCTGAAGAAATGCGCTATTTGTTTTTAATTCGATAACTATCACAAGGTGGTGCCGGTGGTATACATTGAAGGTCAAGTGGTGTGATAGTGCATGCATTTTCAATTAAAGGATTATAAATTCCTTGGACTTAATTTTCTAGTGTGGTTTTTTTTTTTTTTTTTTTGGTTTCGGGATTTTAGTGTGGTTTAATAACATTGCATGTTATGTTAGTATAACAGGACATAGTTTATGCCTGATAGAATTTTAGTTATGCCTTTTTGTGTGACCAATATAGGACCACTTTTTAAGAAGTTCAGTATAATAGTGGATATGTTCAATATTAATGTGTTTCATATGAAAATGAACATGTTCAGTATAGTATTTCATATGGATAGGACCAATTTTAAGAAGTTATAAATAAGATCAATTTTGACAATTTTAAAAAAATTCTTGTAACTTTCTCACTTGCAAAGCTACAAAATAAAATTTTCTTGCAAATTTTTCATCCTAATCAAACACATGCAATAATTTTTTTTTTTTTCATTTTCCTTTCTTTCACTTCACATGCTATTACTTTCTACCATTTTCACTTTCTATCATCTTTTTCTTTCTAACTAAACGGAGTCATAAAGTAATATTATTGAAACCTAAAAGCCTAATCTAATGATGTGTCAGTGATGTGATCCATTAGTGTTGCGACGATAACTCATGGGATTTTCATTGGAACTCCATCACTTAACACATCATCATGCCAGTAAATTAAGTCAATGAAGAACAAAATACTTTCAACTAAGAATGAGGCATTGTACAACTTGATGCCAATGGATTATGCATAATGAAGAGAATATTACACTTTCATGCATCTGGAGGGTTCATGTGTAGAACAAAATGATGTACACAAGTCAACAACATAAACTAATGATTTTTCAGAATCTTTCATTCATATGCACCATTGTCCTAACCTTCCCCCATGCCCTATAGGGGTCATTTTGTTGGCAGTGGCACTGACTTGCGATACTCAGCTAGGGCCCACAGTGGATATATATTCCTGTAGGCCGCATAATGTAACATGCAATTCTTCATGAAAACTCCAGTGATTTCCTGCCATGAATTAGTTCATGTAATTGTCAGATCAGATCAAGTTTAAACGCACAAGGTTGACCATGAGATTGAAGTCAATTTCTTGAGAAATTGAATCACATCTGCATTAATAACAAAAAATTGAAGGAATGGATTCATGTCCATGTGATTCCTCTTTTTTCTGTCCACTTCATTTCGTCCGTTTTTTCAGATTCAGGTAATTATCTCTTTCTCTGTTTTGGTTTCATTCCACAAAGCATAAAAATTTATGTCTGGATAAGTTTTTCTTTGTGCAATAACATGTATAGTGTTGAAGTAGTAATTCCTTTCATCATTTTCTTTCTTTCTACTTTTTTGGTGCCAAATTGCTCATTTAGTTTACCTGCTGAGGAAAATCTCCATTTTCCATCTGAGAATTGATCAACAGCTTCGCAGCACGGTGGAGGGGGTTGGGTCTCTCTCGGCCTACAAAAGAGGACAACTTGGGAATCAATTTTTTGATAAAAAGTAACAGTGAAGAACAATCAACTGTTTAGCATTGAAACAACACACTAACCTGCCCAGAATGAATCAGACCCATCATGGCCCACGCAGTATGTACCAAATTTGACCGGTTTCCTTCTAGAGGAGTATACTTCTGTTTAATCAGACGCAAAGTTTTATACAGATAGGTTAGGGGGAGAATATAT